CCCCTTCTTCTTCCACGTGTAACATAGGGCCTCTAAAATGCAGATTCAGGGTCATTCAGAATATCTGAAAGCCAACTTTTGAACATATATCTATTATAATTTTACACAATACTTCAATGATAAAAAATTAAAACATTTACATTTAACGCGTAGCGTCTCCTCTCTCTCTCCTCACTGCTCCTCTGGCTGCTCGGCCCAAAGAGGAGCTCGGTTTGACTCCGCCTTTTCCTCCCTATCCTGTTTCCCTTTAGTGAACAATATCAATACAGTTAACTAAAAAATGAAAGAAATGAAAAAAACAATCTGCCATTTCACCATCATGTCTCAAGGAGTCTTATTCGTAATGTTAACACACGTTAACGTGAAATGAAATTAGTTTTGTGGGTTCCAGAGCAGCCCTATGTCAAAGTATGAAATAGTAAAATAGCTATAAAAAAGTTGAACTATAAATATTAAATAAGTAACAATAAATATGCACATTTAAGCAATTATATATAAAAAACTAATTATAGGAGTATAAAACATTAAAAGACTTCTAAATAAAAATGAGGCATTCTAAGGCTTTTTGAAGGACCATGGTGACTCTTTATGTAAAAGAAGCTTACCACAGAAAATTGTGATTATTATTATTATGAAAATCAACGGAATATTTTATTTTCTATTTGCGGCATACGGCCGAAATATAAAAGAGGTTAAACATCCAACCAGTGGCAGATGGTGGTGTTTTCTCCGGGGGGGTAATAAATTCTAAATAGACATATACCAAGAACCAGACAAATAAGTTATCACACTAATATATTTTTATGAATGCCAACAACAAAAAAACAACATTATAAAAACAACATCATCTTATGTACAGATTTAGTTTTTGTTCTTACATTTCGCTCAATGACTCTACGGTAAAAGTCAGGGATGGTTTTGATTCGGTTCTCCTCCATAGAGAGCATGACCAGCATTGAGATGATCCTGTGACATGGTGTTCTTTAGGAAGGTCTTGATCCTCTTCAGCGTTGAGAAGCACCTCTCAGATTCAGCTGTGGTCATGGAAGTTGTGGTGAGGATCTTTATCTGAGCCATAGTCTCTGAGAAGGTGTCCTAAAGATTGTTCCTGATAAAGAGCTGCTACAGAGCCACAGCACCACTGCAGCTCATCATTACTGTAGATGAGAGCCAGCTCAGTTCTCAGCTTGTTTTTGTTAAGCAGTGGGTAAACCTCCATGGTGGTGATTCCTTTATGTATGGAAGAGGTTTAGGGCCACTGGAAAAAAAAAATGTTAACTGATTTTTAAATTTTATTTCAGTTTAATAAGGGAAATTAGTCAGAATTCTGACTTTTCACTGTGAATTTACAATAAATTACCGGCTACTAACGGCATAACTTTCACATTCATTTACAGGGTATATTTATCAAAATATTTCACTGTAAATATGAAGGTAAATTACTATATTTTAAAGTAATTTCCACCTAAATTATAGCTGCATGTTGCATATAAATAAACAGTGTTTTACAGTTACTGTAGGCAGTAATTTACTGTAAAGCTACAGTTTAATACTGTACAAAGAAAATAAAGACCATAGTCATTTCATCTTTTATAGAAAAAAGTAGAAGAAAAAAAGTACTATGCATTTATTTTGCATTGTTTACCCAGGGCTGTAGGCCCCATTTACCTGTAAGTGAATATATGACAAAAGAAAGAAATTAGTTCATAGAGATGCTCTGACACCATTTTTTCCTTCCAATACCGATTATTTGCTGCGGGTATCACCAGTACAGAGTACAGATACCACTGTGTTAAAAACAAAACATTCACATTCCACCTGCATGACTGTAATATGATTATCATGGTGAAAAGGCCTAGCTAAGGTTAAAGCTTCAAACTCAGGTGATCAGTTCTTCTTCATCAGAAAGTGTGTTTAAGACCACAAAAGAAGAACTGGGTCAGAACTGATAGAGCTCATCGTTAAATAGATTCCTATTTTAATAAATTAGGTTTTGGATTGATGTCTGTTCTCACTGATACCAGCACTTTCAGTGCTATCAGAGATATTTTAGACACTGGCATCAATATCAGATCAACTCCAACTGAAAGCCAAGTAAGACTGATTACAGGCAACAAGTCAGTTTTATAGAGATGGAGACAGACATGCAAACACTGAGCACCTGACCTGTGACCTAAACACCATGCATGTTATGTTGAATATGTCGTCCACTTGACACCGAAGTTAAGAGAGACAGTCTAAGTTTATTACATTAAATCATTTTACTAGAAAGGAGTCCATGCAGCTGCTCACAGGTTGTTTACTCTTCGCCATGGTTACAAAATAGAGAAAATTGATGAATGGCTTCTGAATTTGATTCAATTCAATCCACAGAATTCTCAATTGTTGCACAACTTCAACTCTATTACATTTGTGATCCAAAACAATCACATGATGGATCTTTCAAGTTCGGGCATATGAGATATTTTTTAAAGCAATAGTAATGTGTCATAAAATTAGAAATGCTTTATATTAATCACATCAAGAAAACTCTATATTGTATATATTGTAATATTTTTTTCACAAATAAAAGAAACAACTAATAATGTGAAATCTTATTCCTGATCATTCCTGATGGCAGCAGAAATGATCTATATCTTCCTGTCTTGCAGTGGATCAGATGAAGCCTCCCACTGAACCAATCATTGCCTCCTCAGTGTTGTTCAGAGGGTGTGAAGAATCCTCCATCATCTTCATCGTGGCTCCAGTAATCCCCTGGTAGAATCTGATGAAGATGATGGAGAATTCTTCCCTCTGTTTGACTCTAGTGAATGTGTTACGACTAAGAGCCTGCAGAGGGAGCTATGCTTTGAGTTATGATGATTTATGAATACCACGAAAACCTTTTACCAACACATGAGGGCAGATGTGATGATGAAACAGCTGCAGGGCGGCGAGAGGCTAAATCTGACTGAGGCTAGCTACAGAGGCTAGCCAGAGGACTGATGGTGGATGACTAGAGAAGTACGTCAGGTAACAGAACAGCAAAGCAGGGGGAGGGAAGGCAGCAGCTGGCCGGTGCGCTGGAGGAAGGACCACGAGGTAGTCCTTACAGGGATAAATGAAAAAGACTCCTTTAAAAGCCACCCACAGACCTCTTATGATCATTTCCCACTTCATCCTTTGTCTGATTATGTGATAATTGCTCCAATAGCAGCATTGAACTCCTCTCTACCTCAGAGAATGTTCAGAGACTTTGCTCCCACTACTGTATACTATGCTGCTAAAACAATACAGATGGAGCCTGACAGAAAACAACATCAAAATACATCAGATACATTTTCAAAAGATAACCAAAGATTTATCCATAGTCAGAAGGAGGCAGCATAGGGGGACTCATCTGGCCTGGCAGTCTGCTCTGCCTCTTTCAGAGAGAAAAAAGCAACTACAGCACTGGAAGGTCAGGCAGTTTAGAGGAACTCAAGAAGTCCAGGATTGGCAGTAAGCAAGAATATAAGAAATATCCTGCTTCTATTTCCTATCAATAGCCCCTGTAGCACAGGGACCTCAAAATATTCCTATCTGCCACTTATTACCTACACAGATTCCCTGTTGTGCTCCCAGTTTGATGTAACTTGGGTGTAAATCCCAGTGATTTTCCATTTACATGTTTAGCTAATGGAGAAAGATTCCAGTGATCATTCTGTGTATGTTTTGTGTTACATACAAACTATGGAATTGGTCAGGTGTTGATGGCGAGCTGAAGGTCCAGGCCTAGAGCCCAAGAAAGATTGCACTTTAGGTGCACAAAGACTTTGGATCTCCTGCCAGGCTGGTAGGAGGCTCCTTGCAGCCAACGAACAATTTTGTTTCCACTCTGCTCTGACTTTTATCAGTCCACGACCTGCACTGTACCAAGCACTTTAGAAGGAATTTGCTTGGGACCTTTAATCAACCCCAGCTTTGGGTGAATGGACTGAAGGGATGTGGTTTCATTAATAGTGAAATTGATTAATTTTGTTTTTCTTTTTCCTCTTTATTGTTTTGTTTTCTTTCTTTTTCTGCGCATTTTATATGGCCATTTGGATGATTCACTGATGTTGTAAATATATATAAAATTTTCCTAACTATAAATATAAAGCACTCGCAACTGCAAACTTCTAGTCTCTGTCTGCTGTTTCATGAGTCGTACCTTTCTTCTGAGAACTAGCCTATTGACCTTATTTGTTATGATGCATTTGCATTAATTTAAAATATAGTATACTGTTTTTTACAGATATGCTACATTGACAAAAGTCATCCATCTTTGTTTTCATTGCATAATGAGGTCTGGAAGACTGAAGCCTTTCTGGATTCATCTCCTTTCCCATCCATGACAGTGTTTTACTGTTGACACCATGAAAAGCGAAGGAACAGGAGCTACAATTGATATATTTAAATAAAGCCCATGTGGCAAAGAGGCAGTCAGTCCTGGACTCGTCTCACAGGCCTTGACCGTTTATGATATCTTGTCACAAATGGTCAAGGCCTTCTCTGTTTCCATTTTTTGTCTTTTTCAGTCCAATAAAGACACGATTCACACCAACAATGGTACATCAACAACATCCATGGATTAAAAATAAATGGAAAGAGCTGCAGTCATCAATGGAGTCACTCCTTATGATTAAAACAATAAGATCAGATAAATGATTCATATTTTATGCACCTGTTTTATTAGTACAATTAGAAATGATCAAACCTAAAGAATGTGTGACAAAGATGTACAACTATAAAATAAATATCTAATTTATTCTTTCTTTAAGACAAAATAAGAAGAAAATCTTAAACTGTGTAGATAATCTAAAATGTTTTTTAAACCAATTAAATAGATTCTCAACATCAGTTACTTGATGAACTTTTAAACTTCCAAGCCAAAACAGCCAGGATTATAACCCCAAAAGTTAATGAAAGTCCAGTCACACCAAGTCCGACCATCAAAGCTTCTTCCACCTGGAGACAAGGAAAGATGAAAAGATGAATCCAGGTTTGATGGATGCAGAATAAACATTTCACATCCTGTTACATGGTTGGAAAATGGTAGAAAATTACACAAGGTTTAAAAGTGTTCAACAACATAAAAGGTATCAAGAAATGAAAGCAAAACTAAACGATAAAAGAAAATCCAAAGTTTAATTGAAGGGTGTATAGACTCTCATCAAATAATATCTGTCTCAGCCGATATGGTTGTACTTATATGGTGCTTTTTCAAGTCAGAAGACTTGACCAAAGCGCTTTACACTACTTTCAGTCATTCACACATTCACACTCACACGCTGATGTTGGCTCCAGCTGCTCTGGGGTTCACTCTTTTTTCTACTTTCTCCAGGGAGCAGTTTTTTAATTTCTCAGACTAACTCTGATCTCTAACAAACCAAACTCTATCTTCCTCCAGTATCCTGCCTTGGTTTCCCCTATACAGGTGCTGGTCATAAAATTAGAATATCATGAAAAAGTAGATTGATTTCAGTAATTCCATTTAAAAAGTGAAACTTGTATATTATATTCATACATTACATACAAACTCATATATTTCAGATGTTTATTTTGTTTAATTTTGATGATTACAAATGACAACAAATGAAAATCTCAAATTCATCATATCAGAAAATTAGAATATTGTGAAAAGGTTCAAAATTGATGGCCCCTGGTGCCACACTCTAATCAGCTAATTAACTCAAACCACCTGCAAAAGCCTTTAAATGGTCTTTCAGTCTAGTTCTATAGGCTACACAATCATGGGGAAGACTGCTGACTTGACAGTTGTCCAAAAGACGACCATCGACACCTTGCACAAGGAGGGCAAGACACAAAAGGTCATCGCTAAAGAGGCTGGCTGTTCACAGAGCTCAGTGTCCAAGCACATTAATAGAGAGGCGAAGGGAAGGAAAAGATGTGGTCGAAAAAAGTGTACAAGCAAGAGAGATAACCGCACCCTGGAGAGGATTGTGAAACAAAACCCATTCAAAAATGTGGGGGAGATTCACAAAGAGTGGACTGCAGCTGGAGTGAGTGCTTCAAGAACCACCACACACAGACGTATGAAAGACATGGGTTTCTGCTGTCGCATTCCTTGTGTCAAGCCACTCTTGAACCACAGACAGCGTCAGAAGCGTCTTGCCTGGGCTAAAGAGAAACAGGACTGGACTGCTGGTGAGTGGTCCAAAGTCATGTTCTCTGATTAAAGTAAATTTTGCATTTCCTTTGGAAATCAAGGTCCCAGAGTCTGGAGGAAAAGAAGAGAGGCACTTCATCCACGTTGCTTGAAGTCCAGTGTAAAGTTTCCACAGTCAGTGATGGTTTGGGGTGCCATGTCATCTGCTGGTGTTGGTCCATTGTGTTTTCTGAGGTCCAGGGTCAACGCAGCCACATACCAGGAAGTTTTAGAGCACTTCATGCTTCCTGCAGCTGACCAACTTTTTGGAGATGCAGATTTCATTTTCCAACAGGACTTGGCACCTGCACACAGTGCCAAAGCTACCAGTACCTGGTTGAAGGACCATGGTATCCCTGTTCTTAATTGGCCAGCAAACTCTCCTGACCTTAACCCCATAGAAAATCTATGGGGTATTGTGAAGAAGAAGATGCAATACACCAGACCCAACAATTCAGAAGAGCTAAAAGCCACTATTAGAGCAACCTGGGCTATCATAACACCTGAGCAGTGCCACAGACTGATCGACTCCATGCCACGCCGCATTGCTGCAGTAATACAGGCCAAAGGAGGCCCAACTAAATACTGAGTGCTGTACATGCTCATACTTTTCATGTTCATACTTTTCAGTTGGCCAACATTTCTATAAATCCTTTGTTTTTATTGGTCTTCAGTAATATTCTAATTTTCTGATATGATGAATTTGAGATTTTCATTTGTTGTCATTTGTAATCATCAAAATTAAACCAAATAAACATCTGAAATATATGAGTTTGTATGTAATGTATGAATATAATATACAAGTTTCACTTTTTAAATGGAATTACTGAAATCAATCTACTTTTTCATGATATTCTAATTTTATGACCAGCACCTGTAGTCGGTCCTACCTGCTGTGACTCAGCGTTTCCGTAACGCAGCTCAGTTGCAAAATGTTCACAGTTGTAGTCCAAGACATTGTATGGTCGAGTTGTGCCCACAAGTTTGTTTGCCTCGCTCACTATGACCTCTGCAGGGCGGGGTCGCTTCTCATGGTCCAGCAGGTTGTTGATTGTCCAGCAGTCAGTGCTCACCACCTCCAGCAGCTTCTGTTTCAGTACGTTGTTCTTCCCGATGGGAAGGTTGATGTTGCTGGAGGAAAGAGTTCCTTCAAAGATAAACAAAACGACAACAGTTCATTGGGAAACTGTTAATGAAATTAGAAGTACTCTGGTTCTAACGGTAGTTTTGTTTAGATCTAGATTATAAAGATATTCTGATATTTTCTTGGGTTGAGAAGAATGTTAGTATAACTTAGATCCATGTAAACTCATGTAAGAACAGTGTTGTAGTGATTATGGCCTTAAAATCATCTGGACCTGTTTGGTCATGGACTCACCATCTGGTCCCAGAAGATGAACAACAAAGCCCTGACCAACGTACACGGCCCAGTGCTCATAGACGTTACGGAAGATCTCAATCAGGTCTCCAGGCTTCGGTTCGTTTCCGTTCTAAGATTTAAAGACAGAAAAGGATGGAGTTAAATAATCATGCCAATTATTCTATTGTTATTCTATAAATAATCTCTAAGCTATCTGGAAGTGTTGCTTCTTCATTGTTTTATACTTTTTTAGTTTTGATCTATCTCTGCTGTTTATTGGAATATGAATTAAAAACAAATGCATAATATAAGGCTGAACATTTTTCAAATTTTTTTAAAGAATAAAAGTATTCAAGCATTTGGGTAATGTTTTCACACCAGAACCACATCATGCTCTGAATTTCCTGACTTTGCTTCAGTTTGAGAAGAAGAGCCAACTTTAAATACTTTAAATAAGATCAAGTGCTGCAGTCTGTTTTAGACCTATTTTAGATGATGCAAAGATAATAAAGAGACCTTACATTAAACATTTATAATTTGGGTTTTAGTTAGGTCTGAATTTTCAATCCAAGCCTTTTAAAAGAATCACCAGAACTAGAGGTTCAGATCTGGTCTGAAAACCTTCTACCTCTCCTTTTGTACATTTTAGGTTTGAACTCATATTTGGAAGAAAACCATATAAAATGTGAGGTTTGATGTGGCATTATGTGAAACATGTTCAACATCAGTCTGAAGTTGGAAAAGTTACCACAGCTGTGGAAGACATCATGTTGATGGTCCCTAAGACTGCACATCATCTGCAGCTACAGGGTAAAAGCACTAACCTCAAACTTACTGAAGACCTTTGATAGTTTCTTCATTTCATCTTCATTAGATCAACTACAGTTTGCATAACAGCATGAAAGCAGGGTAGCTGCTGCCTCCACCATCCTGCTGCACTGACCTCTGACCCACTTGAAGAATCCAAGCAGTTCTCTGGGGATTCTGTTCTTTAATTTATCCAATGATTTTAAAACCATCTATCCAGGACTTCTAAGAACCAAGCAGGAAGCTCAGGAGTGGATCAATATCTGTCCTGGTGAATGATTCTGTTATAATTTCCCAGTCCCACAGTGATTATCATCGCTGTGTCACTCTGCTGTCATCAGCCTGTTATACCGAGGAGTAACTGTTTTATTAAACATCTAAATACGTTTACTTGTTGAATCTTTTTTAACTCTAAGCTTTGAACTTTTTACTTCAAACACAGAGGTGTGCTGTATGTACATGGGACAGAAAGAAATTATTAACAGAGAAAACAAAGTAGTATGGTAGGTATTCTTACCATGCCAGTCATCGGATCCTTTACTGATGCTTCTGTAAGAGGATATGAAAAAATGAAATGTTCAAATTCACTATTCATTATTGAAATAAGTAATCTTGAGGCTTTTCTATATTTTATCAAACAATCTGGGAGATCTCACTGCTCCTGTTGAATAGAAGTCTTTGATTTGGTTTAAATTAAAAGGAAACTAGATTAAGGCAAAACAATATATTATACAAAATGAGACTGATCCTGTGGTAATTGCCCTTTGAAAATTATAATACTATGGATTTGTATAAACAATGTTATTGCTGAGCAGCCAATGATGAAATTCATCCATCTTCTACCACTTATCCGGGGTCGGGTCGCGGGGGTAGCAGCTTCAGTAGGGAGGCCCAGACGTCCCTCTCCCCTGCCACTTCGGCCAGCTCCTCCTGGGGAATCCCAAGGCACTCCCAGGCCAGCCGAGAAACTTAGTCCCTCCAGCCTGTCCTGGGTCTCCCCCTTGGCTTCCTCCCGGTGGGACGTGCCTGGAGCACCTCACCAGGGAGACGTCCAGGAGGCATCCTAATCAGATGCCCGAGCCACCTCAACTGGCTCCTCTCGATGTGGAGGAGCAGCGGCTCTACTCTGACTCCTCCCAGGATGACTGAGCTTCTCACCCTATCTCTAAGGGAGATCCCGGACACACTACGGAGAAAACTCATTTCAGCCGCTTGTATCCAGGATCTCATTCTTTCGGTCATGACCGAAAGTTCATGACCATAGATGAGGGTAGGAACGTAGTTCGACCGGTAAATCGATAGCTTTGCATTTTGGGTCAGCTCTCTCCTAACCACAACAGACTGGTACAGCCTAGGGTGTCCTGGTGCCAAGAGCACATATAGACTCCCTTATGCTTGAACATGGTGTTCGTTATGGACAATCCATGACCATTGCCTCTCCCTGGGCTGCCACCTTATCGGGGTGGAGGGGTTTGAGTGTCCCAATGACCTTAGGAACTATGCTTTCTGGGGGTTTTATGCCCCCTAGTAGGGTCACCCAATGTAGACAGGTCCTAGGTGAGGGGCCAGACAAAGAGCAGCCCAAAAACCCCTATGATGAATAATATAAATGGACATAGTGTTCCCTCGCTCGGACGCGGGTCACCAGGGCCCCACTCTGGAAGCTACTCGGTGGTGCAGTGGGTAGCACTGCTGCCTTGCAGCAAGAAAGTTCTGGGTTCAATTCCCGGCCCTGGGTTTCTGCATCGAGTTTGCATGTTCTCCCTGAGCATGCGTGGGTTCTTTCCGAGTACTCCGGCTTCCTCCCACAGTCCAAAAACATGACTGTTAGGTTAATTGGCTTCTCTAGATTCTCCTTATGAGTGGTTGTTTGTCCCTTTTTTTCTCTGCGTTGCCCTGTGATGGACTGGTGACTTGTCCAGGGTGTACCCTGCCTCTTGCCCATTGACAAATGGAGATGGGAACCAGCACCCCTTGCGACCCCCCTATGATAAAATAAGGAATGAATTTTCTGTTGTTTGCAGACAGAAACAGTGAAAAACAGATTAATAGTTTTGAACTTCTTAAGTTCTAAATTAATTTAAATACTATCTGAGATTTAAACCCACCAAGAAAAACACCAAAGTAACAGAATGATCACTTTAACAGGTAAACTGTATTAGTCCTGGATTTGAGCCCATTTTCCTTTCAGATCTGGTCTGATTCTGGATCACACAGAGACCTTGTTGAAATGACAGCATCTCACAGGTCAGACAGATTTATTGGATTAAATTTATATCTGTTTTTTTCACCACATACCAAACCTGCTCTGTTAGACAGAGAGTTGTTGAACATAAAGACCATCAGACAACAGAAGCTGGTCTGAACCCATTCATTTTTTTCCTGCTGGAGGAAGCAATCAGAAGATGGATCCACTGATCATCAAGCAACATTCAAAAAATCTGTATAGCTTAAATTACGCTCAGATGATGCTAAGAGACCTAAACCGAGTAAAGGCCAAAGCTCACAGCATGGTTCCTCCCACGTTGCTTTGCAAACATTTTTACCAAATCATCTGATTACTGCAGATTATATCAAGAAACCCCAGTCCAGCAATGATCTTCTGTCCTGTTTTACTGTCCAGTTCTGCTGTTTCTTTCTTAGGTTGTTTTCTTTTTGTCAACTAGAACCAGTCTGCCCACTTTCCTCTAATATCAACATAATCAAATCCAGCCCGTTTTATTTTCATTATTCTTAGGTGGTGTCATATGATTGGCTGACTCATGAATAACAAACAAATGAAGCGTTGAACCCAGAAATAAAATGAACAGAGAGTCTTCATGGTTCTCACTCTTTTCTCCCCCCCCCCTCTTTGGTTTACAAGTACGACGGAGTATTAGGGCCACACATGAAGAGAAAAAATATTTTTGCCATGACGAGATTAAACTCGACATGTCAACTTTAAAGTCGACATGTCGACATTAAACTCAACATTTCGAGAATAAAGTTGAAATGTCATGTTGAGTTTAATCTCTACGTGTCGACTTTAAACTCGCCCTGTCGACTTTAAACTCGCCATTTCGAGAATAAAGTTGATATATCGTGGCGACTTCAATCTCGACATTCCAAAGTTTGGAGAAAAGAGCAACCGCGCTCCACAGCTGCAGTCTGCTTTTTATGAGTGAAGGTAGTCTTTGACGTGCTGCAACTGTATAATCATCACAGGAAGCGGTGGCCTACCAATAATAACGTAACGTCTTTCCCTATGCTTACCCAGGCTCGCAGTTCTGAATTTGAGAACATGTCAGTCATTTCAACTTTATTCTCGAAATGGCGAGTTTAAAGTCGACAGGGCGAGTTTAAAGTCGACATGTCGAGTTTAATCTCGTCATGGCAAAAATATTTTTTCTCTTCATGTGTGGCCCTAATACTCCGTCGTATACAAGTCATCAAATCACTTTGGGAACCACTGGTCCTATTCAGATATGATTCTGTACTGCCGCAGAGCTCCACAGTGATCTGAGTATTTGAAGGTTTAACATGGACAGAACATCCAAAGAGGAGACTTTCCATATTGTTACCTCATTCATGTGGGATTTTAATGTTTAATCTGGATATGGATGATAGCAGATGGAGAAAAAAGTACCTAAAGAGGCCTAAAAGTAAATTTGTCATTTTTTAAAGATAGATTAGATACATAAAGTGAACACTGAATCCTAACATCCTCTAAGCATGACAGACATGTCCACGGTCAGATGTTTCTATCTAAAGCTGGTTAAAAACATCATTTACCATCATTTTAAAAATAAGACCATGATTTCTGACTACCTCTGAAGGTTCTAAACAGTGTTTTGACAAAATATAAACACACCTAGAGTTTGAATTAAAATACCTTTAATTAGCGAGATCAGGTTGTTTCAACACTACTCTGTTTATTTTTATTTTAAGACAAAACCTTTTGCAATTTAAACATTTGCAAAAGGTTTTTTTTAACATATAATTTAAACATTATATGAATATAATAAAACAAATCATATCTAAAACAAACTCACCAGGTTTTGTAGAGTCCATGGTCTGTGGTGTCAAACTCAGAATAAAATCCTGTTTTTAATAAGATAAGAAATCAAAAGAATCGTATATAATCATCATAGACATCATACAAAATATTAACAGAGATAAAAAGGAAATAAAGGTTTTGAGTTTATTTTAGTCACTTTCTTTCTGCAATAAAAGCAAAGCTAAAATTGTGTATTTTCTAAATCTGCCAAAATGTTAAATTAAATCTGTTGTTTTATCACCTGCTGAGCTCCAGTTTCTCCTCTGTGGGACGATTAAAATGACGAAGGATGATCAGGGATATTTAAGCCTCCTCACAGAATCCAGGTGTGGTTAAAAAACTCTGATTCACAGGAAGTTAGATAACCTGTTCCGTTTGTTGAACCAAACTAAATATATTTGTTGGATTTATTAACAGAAAATCTCTTTTTAGATAAACTGTTTCATAGTTTTCTGTTTTAATTTAAACATTTAGACCAGAGAAAGAAATTTAGATCCCAGAAGCTGAACTTATGCTTTGACTCTTTGCTTTCTATGAAACATGTTGACAGGGTGTGACATGGAAACTAAACGTCAGTTGAGACGCATTTCTATTGTTTTTTTATACTCTCTAAGATTATCATCACACCCATCAGATTAACAGAAACCGAATGCATAGCAGAGTCTTTACAAACTGAGGAGCTGAAGCGAAACAGATAATGAACAGATAAAGTTTGAAATGAAAAATATTGCCTCCTCTTTCTCATTCTTGTGCTGCTTGTAAGCATAGAGCCTTGGGTTGTTTAAAGATGCCGCATATAAAAGAAATGAAAATGGTCACTAATGTTCCATTAATTAAGATAAGATAAGATAGGATAGTCGTTATTGATCTCACAGTGGAGAAATTCATTTGTCACATCAGCTCAATAGACACAAGAAGTTGCCAAAAGGAGGAAAACGTGCAGGGGTTTATACAGTGCTATGTATAAAAATGTCCTGTCTTTCCAGCTTATTCAGTCTCTTTCTGTCCCGCTCTGCGCTGCCAGGGACCCAGCAGACGACAGCGTAGCCCTTCTTATACAGGGCGTAGGTGTTATGAGTCCAGTCCAGTTTATTATTGACATGAACACCCAGGTTTTTGAAACTCTCCACAGTTTCTATGTTCTGCCCCTGGATGATCAGTGGGAGTGAGGTGGTCTTCTCCTGGAGTTGATCACCATCTCTTTGGTCTTACTGGTGTTTAAAGACAGGAGGTCAATGACCTCTTTTATTTTTCTGATGTCATGTAATTCTGAGGACAGTCTGCACCCCCTGTGTACCTGCAGAGTGGCGCTTTTCCAAACTCCGATTAATAAAGAACTCCCAGAGATCTTCTATGGTATTAGAACGATGCAGTGGGCTGCCAGTGATCAGGATTAACCACAAGGTCAGATCTCTATCAGGGACTTTGTTAACAGTTCAGCCCAGAAGGAGGGAGGGAGGACTGAGGAAGAACAGTGGAACATGAAACGGTCAGTATTTGGGTAAAGGTGGTTTGGGTTTTAAAATAGAGCTTTTGCACATAGATATTTACATAGTTAGATCTATTTATTCAGTTTGAATTTCATTTCCGACTTTGTTTCAGGTAACTTTTTGTTACCATTAAGAGCAAGGTTGATGCTTTATTGTTCGTTTAAATTTATGTCTATTTTTGTTAAATGTAATTTAGAATTTTTAATCAAAGCTATTTTATTTTTTATTTTCGTTGTTGTTGTTCTGCAGGCTTGAACCAAAAGTATAAACCACATGACACATTTATTAAATACAAACTGCACATTATTTTATTTTATTAACACTAGAGGATACAAATAAATAGATGCTGTAAACAGGTAGAAATACAATGAATTCATGGTAGGAATGTGAAGGATCTGATCATCAGTTTGCAAAGAGCCGAAGGTCAGGATGACCTGTTGACTTTTAACTTCAACGTTCACCTTCATCCACGTCTATCTGAGCAGATGGATGCAGTTGCACAGTTCTTCCTTCTGGCTGAAGGAATCAGGGGTTATCACCTCAACTCCTCCTCGCCCTAGATGTAAAGATGGTAGAATGTGATAAATCTGATTTTTTGGAAACTTTATTGCTTTCATTGCAGAAAAAAAAATCTCACAGCTAATTAAATAACTTTTGATCATTTATAAACTCCTGAAAAGATCTGTCAGATCAGATCCCAGTTTGATGGAAAACAAACGATCATCAGTTCTACAGCCACAGATTCACCAAGTTTTCTGATCAGCTGTTCAGGATCTAAACTGTTGGAATCTATTCAGAGAAATTATCAAATTGATATAAAGGAATTAATAGTTAATTGAACTTTATTCATCTCCCATTGGAGAAATTTACTTTTGAATCTAACCCATCCCCTTGGGGAGCAGTGGGCTGCCATTGTGCGGCACCCAGGGAGCAGTGTTGGGTTAAGGGTCTTGCTCAGGGACCCAGAGTGGAGGCTGTTGGGGTCGTACTTGCAACTTTCCCAGAGCACAAGCGCACTGCTATAACCAATAAGCCAACACTCCCCAAAATTAGCAGGTGTTTTTTAGATTACATTAGATCAGATTCAACTTTATTGTCATTACACAGGTACAGGTACAAGGCAACGAAATAAATGACCAGCCAGATAATTAAAAGTAGATTAAGTCTGTTGACATAAATTATATAGAAGGTAAAAATGTTGCTGGTTTATTTCTATTTGTTTTCATAAAAGTCTGTTTTGTTTTGGTCAAATAGAGCCTGTATGAGACATTAACCAAAACAATCATTCAGATGTTAAATGATTACACTGTAAATATTCAGGTTTCTGTTCCTGACATGATAAATATATTTGTTTATTAACTTATGCAGTCAGTCACAGTGGGTACTTTACCTTTCTGCAGGAATTTGTGGTCTTTCTATTCCCTGATCCTCCGGTGATTGAAGCTCCAATGGTGACTGGAGTTACTCAGCTGTTCTATTCCTGCTTTCAGGTTTTCTGCCTGCAGACGGAAAACATAGTTCAGAGAACAGGAAACATTTTGCATTATACAAGTTATTTCAACCTAAACATAAAAGTTAGTCTGATATTCACCAGAAAAAAATCTAAATGACACCAAAGACTTCTGGGAAAATATTCCATTGACTCATGAGGTAAAAGAGGAGCTTCTAGGAAGGTTTCCCTCTCACTGCATCTGATGTTCATCTAACAGCTTTTTAAGAAGATCACAGTTTTCCAGAGCTGCTTTTTAACTTTAGCATGCTTGGTGTGAGGGATTGCTGAAGAGTCAATGACAAAATGCAAGCAAAGGTCATCACTGGAAGCTCATCCAGGAGGAGCATGTCTTGCAAATCAATGACTGGATGCAATCAACTGGTTTTCCAAACTAATCTCACAATATTTTCTCCGTAAAATGCTTTGAGATGACCTATTGTGAATTAGAGCTTATAGCTAAACTGAATTTGATTTAGTAAAACCAGTTCTTATATTTAGGAGCAAATCACTCTTTCACAAAAATCCAGATGGATTTAAACAGCTTCTTACTGTAACTAAAGTTTGCATTTGGAAATATATATATTTTTAATTCTCCTCAGAGTATTTTTTTTTCTGATAATAGAATTTGTTTCAAGATTTGAATTTTTTTTTAATGACAAAAACAGAACAAATTTGTTTGGACGTGAATCTAGTTTATTTGTGTAAAAATATTGATGTGACGCCCCCCCAAACACCAGATTTTATTTAGAAAGTGTTTTTTAGGCTAAATCAGGTTAGTCCATCATAGTCTTTATTTAGTCCAAAAATAGTTGCTGAAAATTGGGCTATTTGGAATTATTTTGTTCCACTTTAGTCCAATATAAACGCTTAAAATTGAAAACCCAGTTTTGAACATCTTTTCAAAGATCTGAAAATTACGGCTTTTCAACTTTCAACCAAATGCAGACGTCGTTTGGACGTAAGTCATGTCGTCTCTTCAACCAATTTTTGCTCAGCTGGATTGTTCTAGTTTAATCTGACAGCACTGGATTTTAAGGTAACATGATTGGCCGACCTGTCTGGACTCTGGTCTGCCGTAGCGCTGCTCAGTAGCAAAGTGTTCACAGTTGTAGCTGCCGAGGCTGTAGGTCAGATTAGAACCCACTAGTGAACAGGCCTTCTTCACTATTTCATCACTGGGACGGGGCTCGTATTCCTCATCAAGGTAGTTGTTGACTTTCCATTTCCCAGCATCCTTCAGGAGGCCTTTTCTCACACTGCCTTTCTTACCTGCCGCTGTGCCGGAGCCAGACTGTCCCCCTTTAACCAAAACACACAGAAATATAGTTCATATAATATATTAAAAGGTTCAAAAGATCCTAATCATGTAAACATCTTTAGTACAGAATCCTGGAAGCTCTAAACCAAAGAATCCTCAAGTCCAGAAGGTTTTAAAGAAATAAAACATATAATTTTGTATAAATAAGCTGTTATGGTTTACAGTCTGCCTTCCTTACATTACAGATGATAGCAGTTTGCTGTTCATCAATGTAGAATAACTTTCTGTTTTGAATGCATTCGCTGTGTTTTATATTTAATATCTGTGTCATTTTTCTGTGTAACTTTGTATCATGTTAAAATGTATCCATAGGGATATGAACTACCATAGAGAATGAATGGGTAAGTTCAGCTTAACTTTCTCCTCTTTAGCTCCTCCCACTGATTCTTTCAATCAGGACTCTGGATCTCCAGAACTTTTAGATGATTTCAGTCAGAATAAACATCTTGGTCACATGTTCTAACGTGTTTAAAATAAGCTAAATCTGACAGACATGAATAATTCAGTTGTTAACTGTTAGGTTAAAGAAGTGGCCACAGATAGAGCCATTCCTGTCTGGAGTCTCACCCTCTATTGAGAAATGAACAACGTAGCCGTTGCCAACATAAACAGCCCAGTGCTGATAGAGATCACGGAAGATCTCAATCATGTCTCCAGGTTTGGGTTCTTTTCCATTCTAGAGTTGAAACAGAGAAAAATGTATTATTTTTCTTATTTTCTACCTCAACATCTTTATTTTTTCTTTTATTTCTTCTTCTAAAGAGATTGGAGACAACAACAAAGAAGATGAATAAAAACATAGAAGTATGGTCTAATAATGTTTATGACTTAACAGTTAATATTTCTGACTAAAAGGATTAGTAACTCATTCATAAATTACTAGAAAACAGAAACCAATGAACAGAACTCTGAATCTCAGGCTGTTCAGCATGAAGACATTTTTATAAAAGCTCATTAAAGAACATTATTGAAGCCTGAAAGTTAGAAAATATGAACCTTTGCTTTTCACTGTAACATTAGAAATGAAAACACAGAAATGAATTTATATCATTTTATCATTCCTCACCTTGTCAATAAGTTTTCCACCTGGAAGCCTGCAGTGAGTTCGACCTGCAAGAAGATCAACACACATGATGTTCTAATGTCATCAAGTTTATAAATATACTAGTTCTTCTGTTTTTTTCACAGTGTTGCTTGTTTTTCATACATCAGCACATGTCACTTTTTCCTGCATAATTATTAATTATGACCAGTTTTTAAAATCCTATTTCTGGTTCCTGCTTTAAATATATTTTTAAATGGTTTTAACTAAAAGATGCATTAGTTTTTACACATAACACATTTGCTCTTTAAACAAAAAAAAAAAAAGCACAGAATTATGACCTTTTCTTCTTGTCATTACATAATTTTTATCCTTCAGTGTTTTACAGAAGTTATTCCTGTTTTGCTCTGAATCAGGACCTTCATTGGGTTCACAGCTGAACGTGCCATGGTGGTGCATTCAAGGACTATTAGTAAACAACACAAGTCCTGATAATAACCTTAAAATAAGAACAAATTCAAAAGAATGTTCTAATATTGTCCCCTTTTAGATTTATGTTTAGATTTAATTTGACAAGATGAACAAAATTAATTTCTTATTATATCGAGTCCCACTGTCTTTCTAGTCTTAAACTGTTAATTATTCCCAACAGACAGAACATGGCTGCTTTCCTGGGAAAGGTTTCCTCTGACACCAACTGATATCATGAATTAATGATGTAATTGATGTTATTTTTATAAGATATGAGATGAAAACATCTCCTGTCACCTGGTTACCCTTGAACTTTAGCTGCTGTGCAATAAGTGACCCTCTGCAGAGAGACAGAGGGACAGGATGTGGAGCTCAGGATGCTGGAGGAGCAGAGAAGCTCTGAAGAGACACGGCTGCAAAATGAAGACTTTGTAGGCGTCTTAGATGTGTGATGATGAGTTTTACTGGTTCTGCAATTTATCAACATTAAACCTTTTTGGAGACCCATTAAAGTAAAGTTAATCATTGATCAATCAGCTGTTTATTAATCTTCCTCTCATTGATGAATTATGTTCTGTAGATTATTTCACATTTCTCTCTCTAAATGTTTTTCCACAACTAACAATGTAGATTAGTATGTTTTAATTTAATATGATATAATTTAATGAAATATGTTATTTACTGCTTTATTTATGTTAAAAACATGTCGTGGGAAAAAAGTATTCAACTATTCACCCGTGTTAAATAAATGGTGATTGATGGATTTCATCTCATATCTTTGCAAAGAGAGAACAGTTCATCATACAACCCTTATGGCACAGCATTCTGCCCTGTTCTGATCTGGGCAGCATTCATGTCACCTTATTTACAACAATGGAAAATTAGTCAGAGTCAAAACAAATTACAGACACTTTGGTTGAACAGTAACATGTTATGAATAAACCTTGAAAAAGAATCTGGTTTGTTATGGGAAGAAGCTATGTCTGGTCTACAAACAACATCCTGCAGAGCATAGTGTGGCCTTGAGAGAGAAACAGACTGAGTGAAAACTTTTATAGTGAGTAAATAGGATAAATGAATATATAATAGAGGAGAAATCTATATTTTCTAACAACATACATCAGAATTAGTAATTTATTCAAATCTGATTAAATATTAGGATTGTACATGATAAAATCCAGGAGCACAGTAGGTGACAGAGAGGGTGTCAGCGCCATCATGTGGTCCAAATGCACGGTGCCATCAGAAATATTAACATGTTATTAGCTACTTTTCACAAAAGGACTTTCAGTTTCAATGAAAACTTTTTGCACAGTTACATTCACAGGCACAAATATACAATTATGGAATTTATAAACCATATATGTCAAATATCTGAAAGTTTATTCATATGCCACAATTCAGTAAAACGAGTTATGAATTAAACAAAATAGGAGGAGAATAAATAAAAGATTTATAATAAAGATTCAAAAGACATAATAAAAGCAGGTAGAAAAACACATCAAATAGTTGGATCACAACCTTAAACTAATAATACCCAAGTTAACAGTTTAACTTCAACAGCCCAAGGCAGCTCTAAACTAATAGGTTTTTAACTCAGACTTTTAAAACATTCAGGCTTTCAGCTGCTTTCCAGTCTTCTGGGAGTCTGTTCCAGTCAGTGGAGCATAGATGATGCTTCTCCATGTTTTTTTCTAGTTCTGGAGAAGACCTGAGTGGACTAGGAGATAGATCTACTGACAACAGATCTGTTATGGATTGACCTGCTGATCTATTCAGTGATTTCTGGACTAACAGAAGGATTTTAAAGTCTATTTAAAGCTACAGGGAGCCAGTGGAAGGACTTCAGAACCAAGCTGGTGTGCTCTACTTTCTCAGTTCTAGTGAGAACACGGGCAGCAACGTTTGGATCAACTGCAACTGATTTTTTTGGGTTTAGGGAAACCAATGAATAGAGTGTTGCAGGAATCGATTCTACTAAATTTTAATGCTTGAATGAGATTTTAGATTTTTTGTAAAGATATTAGTCCTTTAATCCAGGAAATGTGGCAGGTGTTTAACAGCATCCTGTTTTTTTCATGGATCAAAATGAGCCTTTCTTCTTTCCTGACACATATCAGGTTGTATTGTTCCTGAAATAAAACTACTCTGCTATAAAGAGGGAAACAAAACTCTTCATAATAGATTAAAAAAGACTAATTTACAGTTTTCTCAAGTGTTTGATGGAAAATGTTACCACTAAGGCTGAACAATTGAAATTAATTCTAGAACTGATGTTGAAAATGATTTAAAACAAGTTAAAGCCAAAAACAGAGACTCACTACAGAAAATGTTTGTATAACAATTATTAGAATCTACATGACAAACACTTGATCAAACATTCCCATGTTTGATCAAAAATAGAAATATAGCAGTCGTCACTAGAACAGTTTTTTTCATTTTTTTTTTTCTAATCCCAAGACTCTGTGACCCAAACTATAAAGTGTGATGGACTCACCAGGTGAGAAGGACATGAGGATTTCCTCAGGAATGAAGGAAAATCAACACAACTGCTGAGTTTGAAGGAACTGAAATGGAAAACATGTTGATGGTCTGAGTGTATATGGACTGTCTTTGTTTAAAGATTATTAAAATATACATGCATAGAACTGAAGGATGTAGTAGTAAAACTATGGTTAATCAAAAACTGTAAAGCTAAAACACTTGATATTTCAAATGGAGTAAATACACAAAGTTATCAGGAATCTAATACATTTGAAAGGGAGTATTGGACAGAAAAATACGTTTTTTTATTTTAATTATTGTCCAAGTTCTGCCTGATTCTGATCTTAAATACCAGAAAAGCACAGATAGCTGATAGCAGTTAGCCGTGTCATTCTGTGCAGCTTTGGTGAATTTTAGGTTTTGCAAATGACAGCTGGAGTATTGTTATTTTATAATAAATGCTCTTTCCATACTAAAGTTCTAGACTCCAATAATCAAACACATTCAAAAAATGAGTTTAGAGTATATAAATATGTCGAACAAAGTTTCAGTTAAAGACAGAAACTATTTTAGTCAAACAGTTAACTGTAAATACCAAATGATGTCTTTATATCTTCACTATAATTAGTTTCTGTTAAATTTAAACACATTCTCTAAGTTCACTCACCCCTGATGGTCCGTCAGTTATTTTCACACTGAAGAAACTAGACAGGGAAAAAGATCTGTGACACCATTAAAGTGAAATAGGAGCGGTTAGAGGAAGAGCATGAGTCATAAAACCAGTTCTTCAAGCTTCCCCTCCCCCTCCGTCAGTCAGCCCTCATGCAGTCCAACTACAATCAGCTTTTTCAAAACAATGTTGGTCAAAATCTTCCAAAACAGATAAAGTTAAATGTTGGTTGTTGGTATAAAATACTTTTATTTTCTATTTTCAGGTCAGTTTATTACAACCTGTTATCTGCACTATTACCTTTTTTGTCTTTCTTTAAATATAATAATTTTAATCAGGTAAAGCTTTAATTCCTTTCACTACAGTTTTCACATTCCAGTACAAAAAAACTAGACTAGAGCCATTTTTCTCTAATTCAGAACTATAAACTGGAGAATTCCAACTTTCCATTTATTTAGAAAATGTCACAATCTGCAGGTAATAGTTTTCATTTTGTTCTCATGTTTAAGTAATTATTCTGTTATGTTTTATAATTCTTGCTTTATTATTCGATGGGTTTATTTGTCTTCATGCTCAGTTTCCTGCTCCTCATTCATTGTTTTTAATTGTATTAATATAACTTTTAAAAGCTTGACTTCTTCAGGCTGTTTGTTTGCAGCTTGATCCAAAAAACCTCTGACTGAGAAGTAGGCTTTTCCTGTCTAATTTTTAAATACATATAAACAGTAGAAACTACCTTTTCTGACAGAAGCAGCATTCAGTCTGAAAAAAACATCATATAGATATAGATATATATCTTATATATATCTTCGACATTTAGTAATGTGTGCAATTTCACTTTATTAAACATTTAAGTTTTTGGACATCAATGGTTTGATTTCTTTGTATGGGTGGATTGCATAGATTGTTACTGACATCTGGTGAAAATGTTCTGTCATTAGCACCTCTAGAAATATATTTACTGAGGAAAACGGTGGCATGTGCAATAATTGTTGTAGACGCTCTAAATAAAGAATGCAAAGATTAAGATAATATTAAAGATGGAATGAAATCTGAGGACAGAGCTTCCAGTGTCTGTTTTATGTCAAAGTCAAAAAGAATTTGATGATTTTAGGTAAGATTATTTCAACATAAAACATGAAAACAAAGAACAATCAAAACAAATTATCAATATTTTTGCAGCAGTGCCCCCTGCAGGACCAGATGATATTTGTTGAGTTTTTCTCCCTGTAAATCTCATGAAGGATGATGACAAAACAAACTTCTAAACGCTTCTTATCAAAAGACAATTGATGATCCGTGGTTGAAAATTCTTTTCTCATTTCTTTATCATAATCCAAAAGAAGTCGGTAAAGATGTGTATCTGGTGTCGTCTCCAGAAGATAATCAGCGTTAACTTACAGGCACTATAATCCTAGCCTGACGTAGTCCGACTCAATTCTAGTCAGAATTTGAGTCTGATACTGCTCCATAGAGCTGTGATTATGGGGCGTGTTTCGAACGAACCAGGGAAAAAAATGCCTCTGCACTCAATTGGATAGACCTACAACCAATAAGAGCAACGGAGTGCATGACGTATGTTAAGCGAGGCATAGTTGTTGTCCACAAGAATCAAAGCGTGCAGTTGCACGCCTATAATAAGAAGATGAGACTTGATCGCGTTTCTCTGTTCCTCTTTTAAAATTCATTTGCTGTCGATATCTTCTAGAACAGACCTAATAGCAGAATCTACTCACCTCAACTCTCCAGCGGCAGCCATTATTGTTATCACCCAAGCGCGCTTTGGTCACGTGGTTGATTACGTTACTGTTGGTCGTCTGTCCATCATCGTATAAAGCCCGCCCTGACAATTTGATTGGATCGCCTGACAGTGGGTGATAATACTCGCGCTACTATGGAGCAGAGCCAGACCGAACTTCCCAGCCTCAAACTTTGTGGGCGGGACTAAGTTCGGAATGGCACCCAGGCTACTATAATCCATCCATCCATCCATTTTCTTACACGCTTGTCCCGAGTGGGGTCGCGAGGTGCTAGTGCCTATATCTCCAGCAGTCAATGGGCGAGAGGCGGGCTACACCCTGGACAGGTCGCCAGTCCATCGCAGAGGCACTATAATGACTTATTGATTATATAGACTCTATATATAGTGGATGAACCTGACTGGCCTGTATAGAGACTCTATGCAGGCCAATCAGGTTCATCCACACCAGACTCTGCCATCCATGTCTTTATGGACCTTGCTTTGTGCTCTGGTCTACAGTCGTGTGGAAGAGGAAGAGATCGAAACTGTTCCCATAAAGTTGGGAGCAGAGAATTGTCCAAAATGTCTTGATCTGCTGAAGCATTCAGTTTTTTTCACTTGAACTAAAAATAACTTCACACCAAAATCCCGCTTCCATCGAACTTTAGGCTTAAATGCAGTCAGACATGAACCGTTCCTGCTAACCTCCAAACCTAGATTCAATCAGATTCCCACAAATGTCTCCACAGCTCTGGAGTCCAGCAGCGGTGTGCTTTACTCCAGTGCATCCAATGCTTTGCACTTGTTAATGTATGGCTTCAGCAGCTCGACTGTAAAAACCCATTCCCTGAAGCTCTCTGTTCTGGGGCTGATCTGAAGGTCTCATGAAGTTTGGAGGTGTGTGGTGACTGAGTCTAGGTGGCTGACCTGTTCCATCAGTTTCTGTGGCCTAGAGCTTCATGGCACCACTAGACCACTTCCATTTTTTAGTGTTCTTAAGCTCCAGTCAGTCTGCTCGACACGACTTCAATTTTTTTGAAGCAAAAGTGTTTCGATTGCATCCGGGTCACATGATTGATGTGAGCGAGGCTTTGTTACGTCACACTTTGTGTCGAGTTTCACAGGAAAACAGAATAATCTGGGTGTTTTAGTTTAAATGGCATCAGAATCACACCTGAAACTGTGGATTTTATCATGTACAATATAAATCAAAGAGAACGTTTATATTTGGGTCTATTTTAGAGTTTATTTTGAGTAGTTTGCTACATACGCATAGACCTAAAATAGAAGGCTACACACACATTACGGACTCATACACACATATCTGTACTCACCACATCTATCCACTGATTAATTTGCTACAGATATTTATTCACACAGATCTAGACCAGGGGTGTCAAACTGGTTCCAGAAAGGGCCGTGTGGCTGAAGGTTTTCTTTCCCACTAAGCAATAGCACCGCAGACTCCAGTCACCTAATCTAGTGAGTCCAATCTGGACATGATGACTTGATGATATGAATGGTTGGAAAGAAAACCTTCAGCCACACGGCCCTTTCTGGAACCAGTTTGACACCCCTGATCTAGACAGTTAGGCTCTAGAGCAGTGTTTCCCAGCCCTGGTCTCCAGGAATACAGATTAGCTAAAAATGTATAATGTCCTAAAATTTAAATTCTTTCTTTCTATCATTTCTCTGCCGAAACACACCTTATTTTAATCGATACGTCATTTTACAGAACTTCATAGGCTGTGTAGGAGCAGCATGGAAAACTTAAAGGACTGCAGCCCTGGAGGACCATTGTTCCCTATGACCGGTTTAAAAAGACATATGATTAATGTGAGTAATTAGAATAATTAATTACAAATTCTGTAATTATTTTATTGTGTGTGCATTGGTGTGGCCATGTCTTTGTTACCTGGTGGGGACAATTTCCCAGGAATATGCTACATTTTGGGGACTTATAGGTACTTGTGGTGACCAATGAATTGTCCCCATGAGGAGAATATCTGCTGCTGGGGTAGGGGTAAGGTTTAAAACTAAGATGTGAATTGAGGTTAGGTTTTTTTTATTAACATGTTTTTGAACCAAAAAACAAAGTCACATAACCACCTCCTTTTAATAATTAAAGTAACATTAGCACTTTCCCAGCAGCAGAAGCTCAGACCCTTCCTACATTTTCATTAAGATTTGATCATAAACAGTCCAAAGTAGCCACTGTTTTATAGTTTAAGTTATTCTGTTCAGAAAGGCTTTAATAGCTGTTATACAAAAAAAAAGCATGTTTATCAGGGTTTCACAGGTCAGACTTTTGTTTTCTATTTCCATCATTATCAATCCTATTGTTACGGCTGTCGCCGTCATATTTGTGTTCTCCCTTTATTTTCTTCATTCTCCCTCTTTCTCACCTCTACTAAGTAGGCTGCATGGCCCTGTGGAAAGACCCGCCTACTTCCTGGTTTCTGGGGATCTGACTTCAGTCCCATCCATTGGCTCCCTCACCCCGAAATCCCAGATACTCCGTCTGCGCTCCGCTCCGCTCCGCCCCGCTGCGCTCCAGACCGCCTGCACAAAGCAAAGCCTACAGCCTCCACTCCCGTCCGCTCCGCTCTGAGTTCCTTGTAGACTGTAGAGGGCATGCGCCAGATGAACCAGGGTTTCCGCGGATCATTAAAAATAATTACAATTCATAATTCTTTTTTTAATCAAGGCCATAATTGGCACTACAATTAATTAAATATGTTTATCGTTGCATTTATGATTCTTTAATAAAAAATGCTTCTAAAAACAATTTCGTCAGATATATTATATCGCTATTAATTTGCGTGGAACTGATCATAAAGCCATATGTTCGGAAAGGAAGCTCGAGGCGGAGAAAAAGCTAGAGAATATATATACGTATATATGTGTGTGTGCGTGTGTGTGTGTGTGTGTGTGTTTACATACATACAGGAGTCATGGAACTCTGCTTGCAGCTCCTTCATATTTCATGTACACTAATAACTTGTGTACATGGTTCTTGTTGATGGCATTAAAATCATTTCTAATAGCATTAAAATAGCATTAAATTAGAGTCACTCATTCCTGTATGAACCCTGTGAGCGCTTAATTTAATATGACATATTAAAAAAATCCCACCATCATCCAGCATATGTTCAGTTTCTGCCCAAATATATATATATATATATATATATATATATATATATATATATATATATATATATATATATATATATATATATATATATATATATATATATGTAGATTTTTGTAACAGAGATAAGGATAATTCAGTACTGTTTTTTTTTTAATGAACTTGTTCTCTACAACTCAGCATCTCTTTTCATTCCTGTGATAAGAAGTTTCTTTTGAATGGATTTGATTAAAGTTTAA